GGAAGCTCCTGAGGATGTTTTACCAGTCGGTGGTTGCTGGAGTACTTTTCTATGCTGTGGTGTGCTGGGGAGCAGCACAGCAAAGAAGGACTCATCCAGGCTGGAGAAACTGATCAGGAGGGCTAGCTCTGCGGTCGGCATGAAGCTGGACACTCTGGTGACAGTGGCAGAGAAAAGGACATTAAAGAAACTGATGGACATTATGGACAATGCCAGGCATCCTCTGCACACGGCCATTAACAACCAGAAGAGTCTGTTCAGTGACAGGTTGCTTCTCCCAAAGACAAGAACTAACAGACTTAAAAACTCCTTTGTCCCACACGCCATCAAACTGTTTAACTCCTCTCTGGAGGGAGAGGGAGGGGAAACAGGAGGACAAAGGAGGGGGGAACAACTAAGCTGTAGTGCCTCTTCACCTCACTGTGCAATATTTTGTGCAATACTTTGTATAGTCACGGTGCAAGATCAATACTTGAATGTGCATCACTGTAATCCTACATCCCTCGTTAAAATTCCAGGGGAAATTGAAGTCGGTAACGCATTTATGAGGAGGGCCGCATTTCAAGCAGCCTTCGAATTGGGACAGCCTTTGTCGCCTCACGGTGACGTAATCGGCCTTAAAATGCGGCCTTTAAGGCTGCAGACCCTGAATTGGGATACAGCCATGGATCTTTGCTTTTGAACACAAGAGTGAGGGGAGAGCGCGAACGCAGTCCCCCACTACCACAAATTATGCAGTTGAGATTCCCGCATTTGGGGAATTCACAGGGGTCAGCACAACCGCAGTGCAATGGCTGAGCCTCGCCCTGGGTGAACCACCTTCGTGATCATGGTATCTCCCCTGCCAGGTAAGTATGAGTTGCCAGCGTGGGAGACAGGGGTCCCCTTTCCACATCCAGCACTCTGGCTGATGGTGCCTAACACACATTTTGTGCCAGTTCAAAGGGCACACCGAGAGAAGAGCAGACACATCGGCTGTATCCCAATTCAGGGTCTGCAGCCTTAAATTACGCAGCCTCAACAATCCTCAAGGGCCGCGTACTTAAAGACCGCTAAGGCCGGAAGTGCGAGGCTTGTGAAATGTGACGGTCTAGCCTCCGTTGCGATGCCCAGGTTGCCTAGCAACCATGATACTAACAGCTGGAAACGCTACATACAGCATTGTTTGAAGGAATTGAAGGAGAAAATCTTTTGTTCATTTGTTTGTTTGTTTCTACATGAGCTTTGATCATTCTCTGTAAGATTAAGGTCAGCTATTGAACGGCGTATTTTTTTTTAAAGTAAAGGCTTTAAAACCAAGTTAGTACAAACGTCACTAATGTCGCATAACTTTGCCGACATGTGGCCAACAGTAATGTTTTCATGTTCTTCGTTATTAAACATTTGCACATAAATAAGTGACATAATATTCAGTACTTACTTAAAGTTTACTCTTCGGCTGCCCCTCGTCCGCCGTTTTTTTTTCCGGCAAAATTATCCACACCCACTGAGGCGCTATGCATTCTGGGATATGTTGGGCCGCGAAGTCTACTCCGCCACGTCCTTAAAATTCAGGGAAATGAAGGACGCATTTGAGGGCCGCATTTCAAGCAGCCTTCGAATTGGGACAGCCTTTGTCGCCTCACGGTGACGTAATCGGCCTTAAAATGCGGCCTTTAAGGCTGCAGACCCTGAATTGGGATACAGCCATGGATCTTTGCGCCCAAATGCTTAAAGCTGTTAGCTGGTCAGTGTTTTCAGGTGTGCTTGTACTACCTGTACGGTGCGGAGTGCTGACTAAGTCATGTTAAACCCATTAAAGCGTCAAGCTCAGATATCTTTTCATTTTTGTGCACTGCTCTCTTGTCGACACACATTTTCTGTTTATTGAAGCCTTTTGTGAATAATTTTGATCATGTAAAAACTGGGAATTGGTCCCTATTGACAATACTCTTATTTTTTGCATTGCATATGTCATTTAGGAAAGGTAATTGGTCACTGAACTTTTTGCAACTGTGTGTATTTCTAAATTTTGTGGCTTCAGTGCACAGAAATTTATATTGTTCAGTTTGCATGTTAAAAGCCACAAACATGTAGCTAACTATAGGCTTTCTTGTGGAACTGAGAACTGCCCTGCCACTTTCAGAACATTTTCTGCCTTCATTCACATATGCCTAGGAATCACAGGACAAGAAGGGAGACCACTGAGGAGGAGTTTTATAAGTTCACTGGTGACCTCAGCTGTCAAGTTCCTGGATGTGGGTATGCTGCACAAAACTTCACAGCTCTTTGTGCCCCTCTCAGATTTCATATCAAACATGGGGGGGGGGGAAGTATTATGTCCATTTGAAGGTTGCTCTAAATACTTCAGTGTCCGAACATCATTTTCCAGCCATATTTCTCAAAAACATAAATAGACAGTTCAGCAGTCAAGGAAACAAGAAATTGGGGGATTTGCCATAATACAAGGACAGGAAACAATCTATTAGAAGACAGTTGACTTTGTGTCATTTAAAAATGCAGGCTAAAATGCTCTTGCCAACCAGCACTACACAGAGCATCATAGAGGAATTTCAGGATCTTTGAAGCTGTGCAATGCACGAAGCAAAAGTAGACACTGAATCTAACACCATTAACCTTTCGTTGGTAATGGTAGGACTAAGGTTGGAAATTGTGACAAACTGTAAAATATACTGTATTTTTTGATGTATTTTTCAACTTTTCAATGCAAGACCTTGAGTTTGTATTTCTTTTGGAGTCCTGGCATTGATTTTCATCTTCAGACAAGGTCCCCAAAACTGTCTTTCTGTTAGTACTCAATCCTAATTGCAGGGTTCATCTTTTAGTGAGGACATATTTGTTGAAATAGCCATATAAAGTTGCTTTTCCAATGATCTCTCTCTCTCTTTTTTTTTTTTAGATGGCAGACCAAAGAATTTGAATGACACCATTACTCTGGAGGAATCTGGAGAACTGGTGCCAGAGGAACAACCTCCTTCTAAACGTCAGTAAGACAAAGGAGCTGATAGTGGACTTCAGCAGTAAGCAGGAGAGGAACTACCAGACCCCCGTCATCACCGAGTGCCCAGTGGAGAGAGTGGACAGCTTCAAATACCTCGGAGTTCACATCACGCAGGACCTGTCATGGTCCTGTCACATCAACACCGTGGTGAAAAAGGCCCGACAGCGTCTCTACCACCTCAGACGCTTGAGAGACTTCCAACTGCCCTCCAAGGTGCTCAGGAACTTTTACTCGTGCACCATAGAGAGCATCCTGGCAGGAAACATCTTAACCTGGTTCGGGAACAGCACCATGCAGGACAGACGAGCTCTACAGAGGGTTGTGCGGTCAGCTGAGCGCACCATCCGCTCCGAGCTCCCTGACCTGCACTCAATCTACAGCAGGCGGTGCTGGACCAAGGCCAGGAAGATTGTGAAGGACCTCAGCCATCCCAACAACAGACTGTTCTCTCTGTTGAGGTCAGGAAAGCGATTCCGCTCCCTGAAGACCAACACAGAGAGACTGAGGAGGAGCTTCTTCCCGCAGGCAATACGGTCTCTCAATCACACCACCACACAGTACTGACCCACACATATGGTTCTTACACACACACTGGACTTTCTGGACTTTGGTTTTGCACAACACTGGTCACTATATTCTTCATTTCCGGTTAATACTTGTACAGCTGCTGTTATTGTGTATATATTTATTTATATTTAGATTCCTTCATACATTCTTATATAGTTCTATATTGTGTATTGTGTATTTTGTTGTACAGTTATTTTATTTTCAACTTTAATTTATATATTTATCTTTATCTTATTCTTCCCAGTCAAATTTACCCTTCATTCTAATTTGTGTTGTACAGTTATTTCATTTTTAACCTTAATTTATATTTTATTCCTTCCTAGTTAAATTTACCCTTTTTAATTTTTCATATTTATTTCCTATCTTATTCATAGCCTTTTCCTTTTTTGTTCTCTTTAGGTCACGAGCAGTTGTCCAAGCATTTCACTACATATCGTACTGTGTATGACTGTGTACGTGACAAATAAAATTTGAATTTGAAAAAAAATTTGAGCTTGGGAAAGATTTCCACTCCAACTGTCGCATGCAATCACAAGAGGAGACAGAGGTCATCCAGAGGACAGGAGAAGTATGGTTAGAATTGTTGTGGAGGCCATGCAAGTTAACTGCAGAAACCCTAAACGTTGCATCTTGTGAAGAGGTTGCTAAGATCATTGTTAACAGATACCCTCAAACATTTGCAGATTTTACTGAAAAGGGAGAAAGACTGGGTTGTGGACGTTATTCACTACTAAGAAGCATCAAATCTAGAGTTGAACATGTTAATCAAGATAATACAACACATAGACTTCGTCAAACAAAGAGAACCAGGAATGAGGAAGACTTTAGTCCCAACAAATTAGATTATTAGCTGATCCATAGTAAGTACATCTGATGTTATGTCAGATTTTAAGTCCCAGTTTTGTCAGACAGTCGATTATTATTTTGGTCATAAAATCATCTTGATTAAGCTGTTAAAAGTTTGATTTGAAATATAGCCATACATTTAAAGGAAGATTCTACTATATTACTTGCTGTTAAAGAAAATGTAAAAATCTGATGAGTTCTGAATTATGATCTGCACAAGGTTTTATTTATTTATTTATTTTACTTATAGAAGACATGAAACACTACACATAAAAATGCTAATTTAAACCTTTGAGCCCTGATCTCAAAAACAGATATAGATATAATGCTGTCTGTGAAGCTGGAATTAAGAAATAAGTGCTCAAAGTTTTAAAAACATATTTAGTGCCATATTCTGTCAGTATGGAACATCATCCAATGTCATGTTGTTGGTTTGTTAGTTGCAGCTAATAGACTTAGATTAGTTTATGTTAGCTAACTAGTGGCAGAATGGATAACTCAGAGGAAAATGAATAACACTAAAACTAAAAATCAGTCTAAGGGATCACTTTTTGGGCCACACCTGTCTGCAACAATGAGTGTTATGTTAAGAAACCAAGGATATACTGTTCACTTTCACTGTCTCTCTTTAGGAGTAAGTGGCTCTATGTTGTTTGGCTATTTGAATTAAAACACAAATATCCACCTGTTAGTAGTCGTGTTCGGATTTGTAATGCACTTTATAAATAAGAACAGTGTGGAAAAGAGCCTGTTTGAGTTACCAGACTGACAAGCTGCAGCCCAGCACTCCAGCTTTTCCACACTAGGCCGAGTGTACATTAAATTCACAACTCACCATATTTACCTTAACTTGAGTTAATGGATGATCCAGTTTTGGGTTTCTTGTTATTGAATGCCCTTCTGTTAAATAATATTAAAAACAGTTAAATAATTGAGGAGAATCTTGATGTTCATCTGAATGGGCCCTAGGACATATAAATGTCATCAATTTATTTCAGACAAATTAACTTTATTAACAATGTTATACATCTGTGTTGTGTTTCAGCCCACAGCTCATTGCTGTTGATCTCATCTTTGCACACTGTCTCAGTAAAATAAGGTAAATGCAATTTTGTGCAAAAAGGTTTTGCAGAACATCTGGAATCGTGGGCTTATCTTGAAAGTTAATCCAGTACAACAGAATCCGTCTCAGTCATTTAGTTTTTTTCTTTTTTCAACACTGTCTGTATTTTATATATTTGTAAAATATAAATTATGAGTTAATGATGCAGTGTTTTCAGTCTGTGTTGGTGTCTCTTCTGATGTCATGTACAAATGCAAATGGATGACCATAGAAGAGTCAGAAGGGAAAAGTAGGATGATACTCTGTGAAATGCACTATACACAGGTACACACACAGGTCTTTATCACCAGTCTGACAGCTGTCGGTCCCAGCTGATTTCCCTCTCTCTCCGCTCCTCTCCGTCTCACTATAAAAAGGGAAGGAAACCACATACTCAATTTCAGGTTAGTTGTGAGCCACAAGGTTCATCTTCTTCTCTTTTAAAGGTTTATAGGTACTGTGTCTAGTTTGCTCACTAATCTTAAGGAAAGGTCCTCCTTGTGTGAAGTCAGCCTCAATAACATACAGGGTTTTTGCTCAGAACAGGCTTTTGGGAGATGATGCAGGATTGGTCTGGCTATAGAAATGGCAATGATTCTGTGTTACCTCGCTTGGGGTTGTGGACTTCCTTGTTCTTCCTGAGCATTTGGCATACAGACATTTATTTTATGCTTGAATAAATTAAACCCCCACTGGGTGAAATATGCTTTATTACAATGTTCCTTTGACTAGAGGCCAAAACCTCTTGGGAGGGGTGTTTAGCAGAGGGTACAGTGAACAGGGATACACTAGAAGTCCAAAAACTCAAAATCTTTCAGGATCCAGGATTATGACCAAGAAGAAACAAGCAAATAAGATTTCTTTTCTTTTAAGGGGTACATAAAAATTCATACTTTCATATTGATTATATTATATTTTTGGTTCTTATTTAGTGGGTATGAAAGTAAACAGTAGAAAGCTGTGTGGTGAAGATGCACAATTTGTTGTACATCTTCTGGAGTTTGTGGTTTCAACGTGGCAGTAAGATGAGGAAGACATGAGTCCATGGGAAAAGGTCAGTTAGTAAATATTCTGTTTTTGAAGGAAATGTTTCTATAATATTACATGATACAGCTCCAAATTAATTAGCTAATGACAATTTGATTCTTTTTACCATGATTTGCAATACAATCGACTCATAAAGGGTTTTATCAGGCTAAAAACATGTCAGAATCTAAAAAATGTGGACAAACTGAGCTGAGGTGTTTTAACCTCCTCTACATCCCTGTTAGCAGGATGAAGGTGCCCTCTTGTGTTGTGCATCAATTTTAAAATTAACCTTCAGAAAAACATTAAAAAAAAACTTCACTGAGCTTTCAGCATCTTCAGCAACATCAGCAAAGAGACATTTGTAAAACCACACCGTGTCAGTTTGTTCACAGGAGTCACAAGAAGTGATTGTTTTTATGGCTAGACAGACACAGTAAAGAGCTCAATCTAACAAGACCTCAAAAACATCAAGAGAACATTTAGAACATGTCAAGGTACCACCTGTAATGTGTAACTGATTTCTGTGCATTGCAGAATGCCACAATAATGATGGAAATAAAAAAAGAAATGGAAACTAAAATACTGTTTTAATCCCACAACAGTATGAAAGGATTCAGTCTATTTCAGTTTAACAAACTCAGCAATGTCCCCATAAGAATAACAAAGCCAAAGTCCAGCATAGAGCGGCTGAGTGAATGTGGTCTGGACTCTGTGGAGGAGAGTCATGGTTTCAGAGACGCTGTAGAAGGACAAAATACCTGCTCTGTGATCCAGGTACACTCCTACTCTGGAGGAACGAGGACCTGAGACACGAGTTTGGATGTTGTTGTACTGAAATGTATAACTATTTTTCAAACAATCTAATGCCCAAGATTTGTCATTATGTCCAAACCAACATCCAGTTTCTACTCTGCTGATATTCTTGTACGCAGCTGCTACAATAATTCCTCCACCTCTCCACTCCACCTCCCAGTAACAACGTCCAGTCAGACTTTGTCTACTCAGGACCTGCCACCATCCAGTGAATCTGTCTGGATGATCAGAATAAGACTGTTTCTTTGTGGATGTTGCTTTTCTGTTCTCCTCTGATAATAACAGATATGTGTTTGCTGTGTTTGGATCCAGTGTGATTTCACGTGAATATTTTAAAAATTCCGCTCTAGTCTTTGGCTCTGCTTGTGAATCCGACAGTAAAACATCCACTTCAGTGACTGTCAGTGAGATCTTTGTCCATTCCTCTCTCAGAATGTCCTGTAGTTTATCTCTGACCTCTGACACAGCTGCTGTCACATCCTCAAAGTAGCTCAGAGGACGGATATTGATGCTGGATGAGTCTGTAGACTCACTGAGTGCTGACAGTGAGGGGTAGTTGTGTAGAAACTGGATGTGATCCTCTGTGTGTGAGAGCTGCTTCAGCTCAGCATCTTTCCTCTTCAGCTCAGTGATCTCCTGCTCCAGCTTCTCCTGAAGCTCTTTGACTCGACTCACTTCAGTTTCCTGCTGGGATCTGATCTGCTGCTTCACATCAGAGCTTCTTTTCTGGATGAGATGGATCAGCTCAGTGAAGATCTTCTCACTGTGCTCCACTGTTTGATCAGCAGACTGATTGATGGCCTCCACCTCCTGTTGAAGCAGCTTCACATCTTTCTCTCTGTCCTGGATTCTCTGCTGGATGTTTTGTCGACTCACCTCCAGCTCTCTCTGCCTCTCAGTCCTTTCTGCTGCAGCTGAGACTGTGTCGTGGCCTTTATGGTCATCGATTAAACACTGATGACAGATACTCTGCTGATCAGTACGGCAGAACATCTTCATCACCTCATCATGACGAGAGCAGATCTTCTCCTGGAGCTTCTTGGAGGGCTCCACCAGCTTGTGTTCTTTTAATGTAGGTGAATAATAATGAGGCTTAAGGTGTTTCTCACAGTAAGAAGTCAGACAGATTAAACAGGATTTGCGGGCTTTCAGTTTTCTTCCAATACAGAGACCACAGGCCACATCTTCAGGTCCAGCATAGCAGTGATCAGCAGTAGCAGCTTGGAGTCCAGTCTTCTTCAGCTCCTCCACTAAATTTGCTAAAATGGTATTTTTCACCAGCACGGGCCTCACTGTGAAGATCTGCCTACATTGAGGACAGCTTTGGATTTTCTTTACCTTCTCGCCATTCCAGAGTTTTGTAATACAGTTCATGCAGTAGCTGTGTCCACAGGGAATAGTCACTGGATCCTTCAGTAGATCCAAACAGATTGAACAAGTGAAGGTTTCTGGGTCCATTTGATTTTCTTGCTGCGCTAATTCCCTATTTTCTCTCTGACTGTCACGTAGGTTTCACGTTCTGTGAAGACAAACAGCCTCTGTGCCCTGAAGGGAAACTGAGCTCTTTTTTACTTCTTGCAATCCACCCTTATACAGGGGAAGTATTAACAGTGTGACAAAGAGCGTGTTGTGACAGGCATGGTGTGTTATGCTTGACTTACTGAATACAGTAACAACTATGACCCAGTTAAACAGTTTACAGGAATTTAAACAGGAATTTTTACACTCAGAGCTTTAACTTTTAGCTCCTAACATGTGAATTGAATTGGATCTCTTATCTAGGAGGGTTTTTCGGTTCTGACTGACTTGTGGTGATTTGGGATTTAAGCTCTGTAGGATCTACTGAGGACTTTGATATGTCTTGGGTCACTGTGCTTCTGGCTGTTGTAACACAAGTCAGTGGATTTTTTGTGAGTCATGTCATTGTTTAGTGAAGTACATGGGAAAAGACAGGTTTCGAGAATGATTGAAATGATTGGTTCCCTTACTTTAACCTATGCTTACATGTTAGTTATCTGTTTTGAATATTAATAAATATGACTTAAAACATTGTCTAATCACCTAGTCAAACTACAGAACAGCGATTAGAATCATACAGTCTATCTAAAAATCATTTTACATTTTTGCTCTGTCTTGCCTGCTTGGTGCCCTGCAGGCTCACTGAGGGCCCTCGCGCTCACTTTTCGCTTATATGTGTATGATAGAATTCAGAAAACAGATCGGTGCAAATTATAAGTCTATATCATAATGTCTTCAGTTTTTGTGTTTGTTGTAGGGTTGTAAACTTCAACGCGTTAAAGGGGGGACGGCAGAGGATTCTCTGGCTGGCTGGAGCGGGATCTAATAACTTGCTCGCAAAATAAAACAAAATAAAAACAAACCAACAAACTAGGGCTGTCAACATTAACACCCTCATCACGATTAATGAGATTACAAATTTTAACGCAATCAACCCATCTAGAGCGCAGAATGGACAAACTTTGGACAAACTGCCCGAAATGCGTTGACAGAGACATTTCAGGGATTTTGAGTCATTCTGCACTCCAAATGGTTTAATTGCGTTAAAATTTTCATTCTTGTTTCTGTGACGAGAAAGAGGAATGAAGGCGACCAGGTTTTTTAAATATTCTGAGATAAGGATCAGCTCTTGGGAGTTAAAGTTTGTTCCTCGCCTTTGCCTTATTTTTCTACATTAAGTTTATGTGAAATGTTTTATTGGCAGTTGTTGATGGTTCCATGTTTTTCAAAGTCATCCAATGTCAGTCAGCGAATGTACCAATTTTCAGGTAATTATCTGCCAGAGTCACTGAGTTTAATATATGCAGTATTTTCACTTCTTTATGGTTTTAACAGTTTCTATACTCTGACCTGTGCTGTTTGTTTCTTGTTCACTCTCTCATTTGATTTTGTTTCCTTCTCATCATTTGATTTCATTTTTGTCAGGTGTGTGAAGGGAAGGGATCAGCTGTGAGAGAGCAGAAAGCAGAGGGAGTGTTTTCAGGCTTTACCACATTCCAGGACGAGGAGCAGCAGAGTTAAAACTCATAAAACAACCGTTTTTTTATCCTCTGCAGTGTCGTTGTTCCAGCACAGTGACAAATAGGATAAGAGACACAAGTCATAAACTGTAGGTCAGCAGACATGAAAAATATGCTTTAAAAACAACAGTAGTTACACAAACTATCACATGAGGAGAGTCACTCTGGAGACATCAACATAACAACAACAAAAAGCAAACAGTCATCATGGGTTTTCAGTAAGCAGAACCTGTGCTCACACTCTGGACGACCATCAGTAAGCAAACATTTAAATATTTTTCTGTCAGTTTGTTCACAGCAGTCACAGCCTGTAACAACGATCCTGCATTAAGGGACCATGGGAAAGATAAGAGAAAAGAGTTTCCAGTTTACGAAAATCCTAAAATACTTCCAAGTTCAATGAACCCAGGATATCTGTCTGTTATCTGGATTCACGTCCCCTTTTTCCACGAGGATATGTGCTCACATGAAGCTGGTTATCAAATCACTAAGTTAAACCAGGGTTTCCACTGCATGTTCACATGAGAGTGGTGGCATTGGCACCATCTAACCAATCACAAACATTGGTATACATACTGTATACTAGCAGCAGAAGAGCTGAGTTTTGCAAAAGAAGAAAGATAGTTTTAGTTTTCATCCTTACAGCTGCAGCCTTAGTGGTGTCAGTGGTCTAACAGTCTAAGACCAAGTAAAGATTAAAATAAAATGGGGCTCATTTATTGGGTCAAGTCTATGCTTCAGCATAGCAGTGATAAGCAGGAGCAGCTTGGAGTCCAGTCTTCTTCACTTCTTCACCAAAACTGCTACAATATAGCACATTTAAAATCTGAGATAACCCAAAGTGTTTTACATTTGAGGCATATGACAAAGAACATTAAAAAATATCATGTTTCACTTAAACACAGATTCGAGTCTCAAACTTCTAAATTTAACCAATGATTCACAATTAAATAAAACTATGTTTTTCATAAAGCAAACACATTTACTGCCACAAAAACTTTCTTCATTTTTGAATTGAAGCAATGAAAGAATTTTCTAACTTCATCTTTATGTTCACGAAGGAAGAGAAACATGAAACATGTCAGAATATGTTTTTTCTTTCTATGGTCAAGCTGATCACAACTTCTGTAATAATCTTTAACAGGTTCTTGGCTAAATTGTGTGCTTAGGGTAGCATCTCTGCTCTTGAAATTTGATTTATCTGCCCATGAAAATTACGAACTATCAGGGTACTAGGTCTTTGACTCAGTATTTGAGTCTTATTTTGTATTCAGTATTCAGCTTTATGAAGATGTTTTAAGTTCAAGTTTATACAGTTTGGTCTTGAGTCCAAATCTTTTATGTCTGAGTTTTTTGTATTTCTACTTATGTTGTCTTGTCTTTGTCTCATCCTTGTGTCTCTTGTGAGATTCTGTCATGTCCTCTATGTATGTTTCCCAAGTCATGTCTATGTTTATTCCCTCTGTCTCATGTTTGTTTTCGTATTTGTGTCTCTCTCCATGTTTCTGGCTCCCTCGCCCTCCCACGTTCCTCCCCTTTGCGTTTCATCCTCAATCTTCACTTCATCCTTTGTGTTTCCACTTTCCTCGTCACCCTTTAGTGTATACATCGTCTCCGTCTTCCTCAGCCTTTTGTCAGACCACCAGTTAATCCTCTTTCGTGTTCCTGTGTTTTCAAGGTATTTCCAAGTGTTCCAGGTTTTCATGTGTTAATTTTCCCACTTTAGGCTTTATGATTAGTTTCTTGTCTAGTTGGTTTTCTTGTTTAGTTTATGCTTGTAATCAGTCACAATAAAAGGCTCGCTTTTTGTTAAGTTTAGTTCTGCCTCTGTTTGTCTCCAACAAAACATTGATTCTTTAAAAAGGAAACTTTGTCTAAATTTTACAACTCAATACCAGTAAGGCTAACGATGAGATAATCAGTTTCCGAAGAGGACTAAGGACAGACCCAGAAGCAAGATAATGCATAAGGATATTTAATTTCACACAAGAGATTCACAGACTTAAGCACTAACACACTACAACTTTTTCAAGGAATGTTCTAACAATAGATGGGAAAAACGTGGGGTAGTGGACAGGATGGTGATATATTTTTTAAATATATTCTCAGTCTTTTCCATCCAAAACAGGGTTCCAAGGGAAAATGTGAAAATGTCTCCTTCAACTCCACAAGACTGGTTGGTAAACTTCCACACATCTTTAAACATCTTCAAGAAAATCAAGAGCCAATCCACTTTTCCATGATCAGGAAGAAATCCGCATCGTTCCTTCAGAATCCTGGTTTCAACTAACAGGCAGACTCTTCTCTCCCGTGTCCAGGCATATACCTTTCCAGGATTTTATATCATATCTTATTATATATGCTATTCAGACACATTATTTTTATTGTTATTGTTATTGTTGTTATTATTATTATTATTATTATTATTATTAATAATAATAATAATAATAATAATAATAATAATAATAATAATTCCCACTGCAGAAGAACTTTCCAAATATGAGATAAATATCTCCTCTCATCCTCATTTTTAAAAATTCTCATTTTACTCTCTGAGGAGTAGTGATGAGTGACAGACGGTTTCTTCCACTGAAAACACTACGTCCAGATGAACAGAATCAGCCTTTTGAGTAATTTGCCTGCTTGCCTGTATTGGCCCTGTCATAAACCCACTTTTACAACTAACAGCTATTCCAGATTTTATGTGAAATTTTCAACTTGTGTGAAATCTCATGTGTCTTTTCAAGTGTATCATCTGAATGAATCTTTTCCCACAGGTGCTACAACAATGTGGCTTCTCACCTGTGTGAATTCTCATATGAATTTTCAAGTTTATCATCTGACTGAATCCTTTTCCACAGGTACTACAAGAATGTAGTTTCTCACCTGTGTGACTTCTCTGATGTCTTTCCATTGTTGGTTTATGACCAAATCTTTTTCCACAGGTGATGCAAGAATAAGGCTTCTCACCTGTATGAATTGTCATGTGTTTTTTGAATGTCGATTGGTCTCTAAATCTTTTCCCACAGGTGCTACAACAATGTGGCTTATCATCTGTGTGAATTCGCATATGTCTGTTGAATGCTGACAAAGCACAAAACTCTTTTCCACAGATGGTACAAGAATATGGCTTCTCACCTGTGTGAATTCTCATGTGAGTTTTAAGGTTAATTAGCTGACTGAAACTTTTTCCGCAGGTATTACAAGAATATGGTTTCTCACCTGTGTGGATTCTAATGTGATTTTTCAAATGTATCATCTGACTACATCTTTTTCCACAAGTGTTACAACAATATGGCTTCTCATCTGTGTGGATTCTTACGTGAGTCTCCAATCCTGATTTCCTACTGAATCCTTTCCCGCAGGTGGTACAAGAATAAGGTTTCTCACCTGTGTGTGATCTCAGATGTCTCGTTAGGTTGGATTTATCATGAAAGGATTTTCCACAAATCTCACATTTTGCAGACTTTTTACTTATTTCAGATTTACACTGAGTCTCTGACAATGGAGAATTTTCCACTCTGTTACTGTTATTCGTGTCATATGTCTTCTTATTCAGCTCCGCATATCGAGTTGATTCTGAGTTGATGTGCTTACTTTTTTCCTGATCTTGACTCTCTGGTTCAGGAGAGCTGTGAGAAAGGAGCTGATCACTGTGTGGCTCTGAATCACTGTGGTCACCTCCATCATAACCAAGAGTTACAAGAAAGGTTTCAGTCTCCTGCTTCAATACGAGCTGCTCTCCCTCCTTGCTGGTGTAGAGTTCCTCGTGTTCTTCTTTAATCTGCAGAGTCCCTGGATCCTCCTGGTTCATAATGTGGCTCTTCTCCTTGTTATCCATCTGCTGGTCTGTGAAATCCTCTTCATCCTTACAGACATGTTGATATGGAAAATCTGAAGCGGTAAATAAACAAAACAAATGTCAGAAAATTTAAAAAAATGTGATGATGTTGAGGCAATGATCTAAATGAATCAAGGGTGAGAAAGCCAAACTCCAAATCACACAGAGATTTTAACTGACAAGGAAAAATAGGAACCAACGGAAAGTAACAAATATTGAATGAACGTAGAAATGAGGGAACTAAACACAACTTCACTAATATTAAACTAGGATTAAAATATAACAATAACTAAAATGCATATATAACTAACTAAACTAACAACACAGACTCAGGATGAAGCCAATATATTTTTCCAGACCCGGATGCTGTTGAAATCGAATTTCTATGCTTACAGCAAAAACATGTAATTCTAGAACTTAAATGGATGACAGAACAAAATGAAACTTCTGGTGTTGGGTTTGTGTCTCTGCACGGGCACAGATTTAGTGTCAACAGCAAGTGGAAATGTTAAACTCGTAAAAATCAAGCGCGTGATAATTAAAAGAACAAGAAAAAGTAATGAGATAAAAGCAATGAGGCTCTCAGTCAAACATTTGACTCTTCTAAGTCTACACATATAGATATAATTTACTTAGTTCTCTTATTTTTCTGATAACAGATGACTGCTGAGTTTTTGTGTGTGTGTGTGGGGGGGGGGGGGGGGGGGGGGGTGCACGTGTCACCTGGTCCCTTCAGTAATTATGGAGGACCACAAGAGCCACACTCATCAAAATAAAGAATTCTGTGCATAAATTGTACAGTAAATTATGCATTTGTAAATTAATTTACAAATTCCTTTTTTAAATTATTTTATTTATTCAAACATTACATAAGTAATTTATTATTTAATACGTTTATTTAAAATAAAAATGTAAAATAAAAACACTAATCAATATTTCAAAATGAATAATTAATTCATTAATAAATACTTCAAATCAAAAATTGTTACTGGTATCGCCACATAACCTGGCTTGAGTCATACAAGCTTTGGTTAGATAGTTTAGTTTTCTACCGAAGCTGGGTCTGTTTGTAGATGTAAAGCCAACGGTACTTAAACGTTTTAGAGTAAACCAAGCAGACAGTTCAATCTTTAAGCTAAGTGTATTCACAGGGACCAAACATCTGTCCCATGAGCTGTGGTGAGGAAACAGACCCAACCATGCTGTGCTTGGTTTATAGTTAAAAGAACTCTCATCCTGCATAAACCACTAATAATAAGTCCTCCTCCATGTTTTGTCATGCTTATATCATACAACCTGAGTCTGTCACCTTTGTAATAAAGCCCAACATTTCTGCAGGGTCACATGTCCTGTTTCCCCTTTTTTTGTTTTTAAAATACATAAAGAGTAATTCTATTAAAAACTGTGTTTTCATCCTGCAAGTTAACAGATATTTGATAAACCTCTGCTGTTTTTGTTGTTAACTGTCATGGTTGACTTCATTCTGCAGGTGTCTAGAGTCAGAAAAGACTGACAAGGTGAGAGGTGAAGGCTCTCCACCCCTGATGAAACACCAGGACAAATTCAGCTATGTGTGAGGAAGAGGAGGAAAAAAACGAGACAGCAGCAGGTGAGAGATGGAGAGGAGAACAGGGGAAGAAAATACATCTGTTCTCTGTAATTTGGGGACTGGTAAAAACATTTGAGACAGTTTCTAGATATTTGCTTCCTCCACTATCACTGAAGCTGAATAAAAACAAGAAGAACAGGGAACATTCCCTCAGTGACATTTGGAAAATTAGAAACTAGTCTTTAAAGCTTCACAAAACATTTGTGACCTTTGACATTATGGTGCTATCTGTACTCAGCAAATATTTTTATGAGGGAAACAAATCATTTCTAAAGGCTGTATAATCAGAGTGACTCCGTTTTTCTGCAGCTCCAAGGAAGTGAACTCTTCAGTTTCATCATTTCCACTGCACCAGTAGAAATGTTGTTGATGTTAAATGTTTAAGAAACACATGCACTATTGCTACTGATTGCAGCTGATTTTTAGGTTCTTCCTGTTTCTCTAAAAATAAATGTAAATTTGAGCAGTGAGTAGGATCCTAAATTATTCAAATTAATTTTTTATTAAGACCGATACAGGTTTGCATACCTGTTCTGTGTAAGTTTATTTCAGGTTTCCACATATCATCACTGAGTTTGAGTTGTTCATCCTCACTTTCGGCCTCCTCCTTCAGTTTAAGCTGCTCTCCCTCTCCCTGATTGGTGGAGATTTCTTCCTGTTCCTCTTTTATCCGTGGGGCCTCTGGGTCCTCCTGGTCCAGACTGGAGTTTTCCTGCTGGATCCAGACCTGCTGGTCATCCAGACCTTCCTCCTCCTTACACTTCATGCTGCTATTAGAGGTCTGAGGAACAAAAGCACACATGAAAAAGGTTACTAATGTGATGACATGAAAATACACCTCTAAACAAATATAATCCAGTACATATTGAGTTCTTGAATCACTACCCGATTAGCTATTCTTATTGTTGTTTCCTGTGATGCAGTGATCTTTTGTATGTTATCACACCAAGTGGGTAATTTCCATGGGCAGATGGCTCAAAGAGCTAAGATTAGTTAGATTATTAGTAACTTTGGCTCTATCCTGCAACTCATCACTCAGTCCTCACCCTGCATGTTTAGAGCCAACCCCAAATATTTCTTGTAATGTCAATCCTGATGTTTTGATTAAACAGTGCTGAACTCTTGTTGTTGTCAACTGCTCGTGTGTGTTCCTAGTTCATTCAGTCATTTATGTTCAGTTCATTCAACCTAATAATAAATCTATGAGTCCAGCATTTTGGTCCTCTGTCTCCATTCTCCACACACCTGACCTACCAGAACGAAACACTGGGTCAATGACCCAGGTACTGTGACAGTGGGTCAAGGGCGTAGATTTGGCATGGACGGAAGGGACATGTCCCCACCAATATCCAGCGATTATTGAATTGTCCCCACCAATAATTTGGTCTCTTCTAGTAAAGAAAAATAAACCCGATAGAAAGAAAAAAACGATCTGTCAACCTCTCATTCACTTAGCGGTGCAGAAAGAGTTAAATTACGTTCTCTACTGGAGTCCTACCTCATGTGACAAATATGGCCAATGTGATTGGTTGTGCCTTTCAGGGAGCTCTTTTTAGTTTCACTTAGTCATTTGTTTAATAGTAATTTAACATTATATAATTCACATATAAAACTATGAATTGTAATTTTAAATGGTTTAAAAGTATGTAGAATAGCATATGTAGGCAAGTATATTTCTCCTTTTTTTTTATCAAGAAGCAAAGACAAAAAAGGAAAAAAAAAAGAAACAGGGCAGGGCTCGGTGGTTGAATCATCCCCACCAATGCTAAAACCAAATCTACGCCCTTGCAATGGGTTTGCAGTGTTTCGGGGTTTTTGTCAGATTTGGGACTGTATTAGTGCGTTAATACAGATATAAAAATATATAATACTGACTTAAATACCTACAGCTTACAAAAAAAGAGTAATGCATGCATTTATGAAGGTGGCAAAGCAACTTCATTAACATACAAATACATGGGGATCTGCTTCACTAACATGTCAGGTTCATACAGTGGCACATTAGTAATAATGCAGCTCTCCTCTGGATAAATCCTAGTATCCACTTGAGTCTCAGTCAACACACAATCCCTACAGCATCCACAATGTGGCAAAAAAGGGTAACGTCATTTATTCTTGATGTGAGATTCAGTGCTATGATAATAAAGTGAAGAAACAAAATATGGTAAATGCATGCATGCAACAAAGACAGAAACCAAATCCTCTGTTCATCAATCCAACGGCATGTAGTACAAGGCAGGAGTAAGTACACAGAAGGTTTGGCAGGGTTGTTTCATATGCCCTAAGCCTAACCTGTTCAGGTGTGCTGCCTCCTAATGTAGCTCAGTTTCAACCACCAATGAACTGTCAACAAGGAATGAAAGGCCAGCCCTGTAGCCACCGCATTAGCATTTTCCAAAAAGAGAGTTTGTTTCTTTCTCTGTGTGTACCCCTGCAACAGATTGTCAATTCGTGAAGGCTGCACCCTGCCTCTCTCCCTGTGACACCTAAGATGAGCTCCTGTTTTGTGAATATTTTTATTCACATACAAATGGTGCCACATCACTCCAGTGCGTTCTGGAAGCACTACGCAAATGCCAAAGAAGAAATGCCTTTTCTTAAATGCAAAAGAAATTATTTTCTAAAAACTGACTGTAGTATAAGTGTATAAGTTTAGATGCTGTTGAACAATATTCTGTATTTTATTTTTGCCAAGTGGGATTTCTGACCGTTTTTCTATTATCTGAGTTTTCCACATTAAAAGCTTGGAGCAGCGGACTCTCATTTAGCCAAGGGTTGGCAAAAAGAGTAAATAAAAAGAAAGGGGAATCGGGTGCTGCCATCTAATAGACTGAGATTTCGTTTGGATCTTTTTAGTCTAAGTTAATGCTGAAGTCACAGTTACCATAATTTTGGCCAGTATGACCATTTTAATTATTTAACATTTTATATTTAAAACAAAAATAAGCGAGGGTGGTGGGATCATCATCTGGTTATCTGGTCCAGACTTGAAGCCCCTCTCTGAAAGCAAAATTGCTGCCGGCCTGCTGGGCGAAGAGAGCCACAGGCGGCAGCGGGCTCTTGTGTAGCCACCGACCGGCAGACAGAGAGCCGAAGCGGACATCCAACTGGGGGCACCCTGCAAACTGCTTTCCCTTACTGCCTCCTCTATCGTAATCTCTAACGCCATCCTCTGCTAACGTAAATTTCCCCTGTGTCTCCTTGGATGCTTAATGCCAAAGGTTTACTGTTAAAGAGAGAGAGGGTGGTGGCGACTTTATTTGGTATATCTATTTTAAAAAAAATAGCTCATAGCTGCTGCTTCATTATTGTCTGTTAGCCTGCAGACTGAGCTCCGATCAGGGTCCTTACACGTCTTACTCCTGTGTAAGCGTCACATACCTGTTATCTGTGACTTTATCCCGAGTCTTCGGCTGATAGCTGGCAGTCCGCGTTAAAGGCTGATCTCCTCTTCATACTGTACGATCGTGTTTTTAGCCTCTGAGCAGATTTTTTCAGCAGTTAATCGCTCGGACACTGAATTAAAGGCAGTGCTGCTCGGACAACTGAAATATTTCTCTCATACCACCAAAACAGGCTCTTCAAGCTAACCGTCTACCGCACATAAAACACCATCCATCAGAGTCCTTGAACTGCACAAAGCTTTTGACCCACCTCAGCAGCTGCATCCTTTCAGGCCGTGAAGGCCGCACTCAGCGTTTTTATATCTCTTACGTCGCGCTGGTCCTGTTGCCTAGCAGCGATGGCAGAAAATTGACACCCATTACTGAAAAAAACAAAGACCATGCTGGTGCTTTGAACCTGCTGTTTGTTCTGTTTTTAACACTCTGTGCTGAAGCTGAAGGAATGTGATGCAGCTTCAAACTAAATTACTTTGATGGGACACAGTGTGCTGTGACAAAGAGTTGTATCATCCTAAAAATATGTGGACAAGCTCAGCTGAGGTGCTTTAACCTCCTCTACACCCCTGTTAGCATGATGACGGCGCCCTCGTGTGTTGTGCATCATCAGACTTCAGTTAACTTAGCAGAAAAAGATATAAAAAACTTCACTGAACCTTCAGCAGCTTATACATCATCAATAAAGAGAGGTTTAAATATCTGTGTGTGACACAGTGAGTCAGTTTGCTCACAGGAGCCACAACATGTAACACTGCTTTTTCTCTCTTTGCCTGAAGCTCTTATGTTATTTAGCGCTGGAGTTACATTTCTCATGTGCATGGTGTAAGTGCTTAATCGACAACAGTCCCTGCAGAGGATGTGGGTGTGATCCACAGTTGCTCTCCAGGATGAAGGAAAGGTTGGACATCTTTGATTGAAGGTGTGTGTTCTTAGCATAGTTTCACAAACTAGTTTCATTTTTTCCCCCTCTAGCTTTAAATACTAAAAACTCACAATAAAAAATATTAGGTGACTTATTTGTAAGTAATTTCCCCATGCACCTTTGCACTAGAACTATAATTTCCCCTACCTGCCAAATCCTCATGGTGGCTACATCCATCTTTTATATTGTTATGTCGCTAAAACTGACCGCATAAATATATAATTAAGTCTGTGATCATTTGCTCACTGACATTCACACCAGTGGCCTGATTTAGGTTATTTTGTATCATCCTGTTCCTCCTTGCACAAAGGAGCAGATATCAGTACTGCTGATGGAATAAGGACCTTCTATGCCATACTCAGCTCTCCTACAGTGCCTGTCTCCCAGAACCTCCTCCATGCTCTTGAGAATGTGTTTGGCAAACACAGCAAAGCTTCTGGTAATTGCACATATTGATGTGCCATCCAGGAGGACTCAGGCTACCTGTGGAAACTCTTAATGGTCCAAGTATCCGCTCGTGCTACCAGTAGTGACACTGGCAAATGCAAAACTCTAGAAAAGATGAGGAGGGGGAAAATGTCAGTGGCTCCTTTTGTAAAACTATTCCTGTTTCAGGGGTTGTGTCATTGTTGCCCTTCTAGATGTTGTTAATTTCATTAACACCAAAGCAGCTGAAACTAATTAGCAACCCCTTCTACTACTTAACTAACCAGATAAATATCCCAGAAGTTTAACTGATTTGATGCTATACTCTGTTTAAAAAGTGTTCTTTTAATATCTGAGCAGTGTATTTTTATGCTGTATGAACTGTCAATCTGCAGCTACTCTACACAAATATCTTCAATGAAGCAGCAACGCTCTGCAGCCAGAGCAGCTCAGGAACGGTAATACACACAGAAGCATGTTTCCTCAAATAATCAAAACCTCAGTTTCAAAATACATATAAAATAATGACAGGCACAACCAAAGCTTCATATTTTAGAAATGACACTTCAGAAAAAAATTGTCACGTTTTACAGAAATGTTTATTTAAATTTTAAGAATAAAGAACCCACAACAATAAGGAACAGAACTAAATAAATCAGGATAAATAAATCAACAGAAGAGGTCCATATGGAAGCTTATTTTTTATGAAAAGTATTACAACATAAGGTGACCTCAAATCCATAAAGGCACATTGTTTTTGGTCTTGTAACTGTCAAGCTTTTAATTTTCTTTAAAGAGATTAAAGACTCTTTATTAGACAGTAAAATAATAAAATCTTGGCTATAAAAAAAGCCAAGTACCCACAGAAAAATATTTTTTCTGTAACAACGCTGTCAAGTGAAAAAACTGAAGAATCTGGATCTACAATTAATATTTATCACCTCACCAGCACTAACACAATATATAAATTTATAATATACATATGTACACAAACTGACCAAGCATAAAACTATGACCATCTGCCTAATATTGTGTTGGCTACCCTTTTGCTGCAAAAACAGCCCTGACTGTTCAAGGGATGGACTCCAGACCCCTGAAGGTGTACTGTGGTATGGACTTGTTTGTCCGACACATCCCACAGATGCTCGACTGGACTTATATCTGGGGAATTCGGAGTGCAAGTCAACACCTCAAAATTCTTGTTGTGCTCCCTGCAAGCATTTTTGCTTTTGGTGGGGCACATTACCCCACACAGAGAGGCCACAGGCTTCTTAAGGTTTCTTCACAAAAGGTAAAGAGGTCCAGTTACTTTCTTTCCTTTTCATCAAACTGTTTAACTCCTCTCTGGAGGGGAGAGGGAGGGGAAACAGGAGGACAAAGGAGGGGGGAACAACTAAGCTGTAGTGCCTCTTCACCTCACTGTACAATACCTTGTGCAATACTTTTTGTAAATAGTCAACAATGCAATAGACTCAATACTTGAAATGTGCAATTCACTTGTATTTTTATTTTTTTATTCCTATTTATTCTATTTATCCCCTTGTATATTTTATTTATATTTGTCTCTGTGTGTGTGTTTGTGTGTGTGTGTGTTGTGTGTGTTGTGTTGTTATATATATATATATATATATATATATATATATATATATAAATATATCAATTCTGTAACTGTAACTTCGGTCGTTGCTGTGCTTTTTGGAAGTCGAATTTCCCAGAGGAACCCACCCGAGGGATTAATAAAGTTCTATCTTATCTTATCTTATCCTTAAACTAACATGCCTGGATGATTGAGAAACTACACACATCAGAGAATACCATTTCCATGAATGGGTGTTCATGGTCTACAACAATACTAGGTAGTTGATACGATCTTCACATACCCATTGTCCACATGGCCAGGGATAAGCATGGACACTCCGACTGGTATGCAGTAATTCAATGTTATTTGTATAACACAAAAACCCCAACAATCAGTCAACTCCCTATAAGTAAGCACTCTGTGACAGTGGGAAGAAAAAAAAAACTCCCTTTTAACAGGAAGACATCTGCTGCAGAACCAGGTTCAGGGAGGAGGAACAATTGACTACGACCAGTTGGGGTGAGGGTAAGACAACTATGCAGCGCCCAAACTGCAATGCACTGTACAGGGAGTGCAGAATTATTAGGCAAATAGCTGTATAGGCTCGAAAGCCTACTATCAATTAAGCATATTAGGTGATGTGCATCTCTGTAATGAGAAGGGGTGTGGTCTAATGACAGCAACACCCTATATCAGGTGTGCATAATTATTAGGCAACTTCCTTTCCTTTGGCAAAATGGGTCAAAAGAAGGACTTGACAGGCTCAGAAAAGTCAAAAATAGTGAGATATCTTGCAGAGGGATGCAGCAGTCTCAAAATTGCAAAGCTTCTGAAGCGTGATCATTGAACAATCAAGCGTTTCATTCAAAATAGTCAACAGGGTCGCAAGAAGTGTGTGGAAAAACCAAGGCGCAAAATAACTGCCCATGAAATGAGAAAAGTCAAGCGTGCAGCTGCCAAGATGCCACCAGTTTGGCCATATTTCAGAGCTGCAACATCACTGGAGTGCCCAAAAGCACAAGGTGTGCAATACTCAGAGACATGGCCAAGGTAAGAAAGGCTGAAAGACGACCACCACTGAACAAGACACACAAGCTGAAACGTCAAGACTGGGCCAAGAAATATCTCAAGACTGGTTTTTCTAAGGTTTTATGGACTGATGAAATGAGAGTGAGTCTTGATGGGCCAGATGGATGGGCCCGTGGCTGGATTGGTAAAGGCAGAGAGCTCCAGTCCGACTCAGACGCCAGCAAGGTGGAGGTGGAGTACTGGTTTGGGCTGGTATCATCAAAGATGAGCTTGTGGGGCCTTTTCGGGTTGAGGATGGAGTCAAGCTCAACTCCCAGTCCTACTGCCAGTTTCTGGAAGACACCTTCTTCAAGCAGTGGTACAGGAAGAAGTCTGCATCCTTCAAGAAAAACATGATTTTCATGCAGGACAATGCTCCATCACACGCGTCCAAGTACTCCACAGCGTGGCTGGCAAGAAAGGGTATAAAAGAAGAAAAACTAATGACATGGCCTCCTTGTTCACCTGATCTGAACCCCATTGAGAACCTGTGGTCCATCATCAAATGTGAGATTTACAAGGAGGGAAAACAGTACACCTCTCTGAACAGTGTCTGGGAGGCTGTGGTTGCTGCTGCACGCAATGTTGATGGTGAACAGATCAAAACACTGACAGAATCCATGGATGGCAGGCTTTTGAGTGTCCTTGCAAAGAAAGGTGGCTATATTGGTCGCTGATTTGTTTTTGTATGTCAGAAATGTATATTTGTGAATGTGGAGATGTTATATTGGTGTCACTGGTAAAAATAAATAATTGAAATGGGTATATATTTGTTTTTAGTTAAGTTGCCTAATAATTATGCACAGTAATAGTCACCTGCACACACAGATATCCCCCTAAAATAGCTAAAACTAAAAACAAACTAAAAACTACTTCCAAAAACATTCAGCTTTGATATTAATGAGTTTTTTGGGTTCATTGAGAACATGGTTGTTGTTCAATAATAAAATTATTCCTCAAAAATACAACTTGCCTAATAATTCTGCACTCCCTGTATATTCTAACTTTCTTTCTATTAAAACCAGCATTAACTCTGTTTTGGGGGTTGTTTGTTGGACCGGACCACATGGGCCAGCCTTTGATCCCACTTGGATCAGTGAGCCGTGGCTGTCTATGAGACCATCACTGGTTCACCACTTTTCATTCTTTGGCCCACGTTGGATACATGCTGACCACTGCAGACCGGGAACATCCCATAAGAGCTGCATTTTTGAAGATACTCTGACCCAGTTGTCTGACCCAAAGTCAACCTCACTCACTCAACCATTTTTCCTGTTTAGCTCATCAACTCTGAGAGAAGAATGTTTACTTGCTTCCTAATATATCCTACCCCCCAACAAGAGCCAAGATGTAGAGATAATGTTGTTCACTGGTCATAATACTATGCCTGATAGGTGTACATATATATCTGCTCAGACAAATGTAAAAATCTGGG